CATGGAGGTGCCCGAGCCTGGGGGACGGGGGACAGGGGTTGGTGTCCCCAGGGGGGTTTGCCAAGGAGAACGGGGGAGAGGGTCCCAGGGGATTTGCCTGAACCCCGATGTCCCGGCTTTTTCCCTGTCCTGGCGGATCCACCCACCCCACGGGCCTCTGATCCTGCTCTCCCGCTTCGGGAAGGGCACCCATGGGGTCGTGCACCCCCATGGGGTGCCCTTTGGGGTTGTTGGGAGGAGAGTGCTGCCCCTGCTCAGGGAGTGGTGGCGGTGGGGCTGTGGGGTGGGGCTGGTTCTGAGGTTCTCACCCTGCTCATGGAAAAGCCCAGACACCCTCTGGGGTGATGATGCTCCTGCTGCCCCCCACCCACAGCCCAAATCCCTCCCCCCTGCTTGTCACCCTCCTAAACTTCCCCCGGGAAGGTGGCAGCACCGGCAGGGTCTGACCCGCACGAGGCATCAGGGGTCAGAGGGGTCCCTTCAGGAGCCCAACTGCTTCCCAGTGGGAAGTGGGATCCCCCCTGCACCCACCTCCCAGGGGCCATCCCTCCAGGACAAGTCCCAGGGATGCAGCTGCTCCCACTGACCCTGACCTGGGAAGGGTCCTGGGAAAAGCGGAGCTGGAGCCGCTCCGGGCCTCAAACCTACCCAGAGGCTGGAGGCAGGGGAGGGGGGAACAGAGAGACCCCGGGCACCCACCCGGGCACCTCCCTGGGCACACAGAGCCTGGCTGGGCCCGGCAGGGGCAGCGTGGTGGTGGCTCTGCCTGTGGCCGTCTGTGTGGCAGAGGGAGGTGCTGGCAGGGAGTCACCGGAGCTCCCGCTCTCGAGTGGAGATAAATGTCACAGCAGCCACCAGGCAGCGCAGCCCCGGCCCGGGGATTTCATGGACACCTCTCCCCCCGCTCCAGCAGCTGCTCCACGCCTGGGAATGCAGCCCGGGAGCAGCTCCTCCGCTGGCAGCAGTTTGGAGCCCCAGTGTCCCCCGGGCTGGTCCCTCCAGCGGGGAGGGGACTTCACGGGGTCTCATCGTTCCCCCGAGCCCAACTTGGAGCCCCAACATCCCACCGTGGCCAAAGCTTCACCTGGTGGGAGAGCCAGCTCTGCTGGCACGGAGGGGTGTCCCCACATCCCCATCTCTGCCTGGGTTGGGGTCCCCTCCACACCCCCAGCCCCACATCCAGCGGCATCATCCCGAGAGCACCGAGCTGCTCCCATGAGGCACCACCTGCCATCACCAGGTCCCTGCCGTGCCCCACGTCCCCAGCCCTGCCGGGCACAGGCCGGGTGGCCCCGGGGCAGTGGCAGTAGGGTGACCCCATCCCTCTGTCCCACTCCCCCAGCCCCAGCCCCGGTGTCCGTGCAGACAGGGACCGAGCGTCTCTCTGAGCCCAAACGCCGGGTTTCTGGTGAAATCCTGCAGCAGTGTTGCCGTGACGACCCTCCCGCAGTTTCCATCCAGAGATGTTTTCCTTTGTTGTGACAGGGACGTGGGGAGCGGCCGCGGGGCCGTCGGGGTGTGATGATGGTGGAGGGGGGGGCTCCCGCTGCCAGGGGCAGGGACCCCCAGAGCCCATGGGGGGGGGACCCAGCGGGGCTCCAGCACCACAGCAGGGCTGGGGGGGTCCCCACGGCTCCAGCGCTGCCCTGGTTTGTCCCCAGCCACCCAGAGGACAGCAGAGGGGCCGGGAGCCAGGTGACACGAGTTTGAGAGGTCTCAGCCGGGTCTTGCTTCCCCAAGAGGGGAGACAGAGGGGAGAAGTGGCCAAGACGCAGCGCGGGGGCACCGCGGGGTCCCGGCGGGGGTGGAGGAGTTGGCTCTGTGCGAGTGGGTGCTGAACACCCTCATCCCCCCAGGACAGAGCCGGTTTGGGGGGTTGGGGGGGGACAGGAGCCTCCCGAGCTGCCCAGTCTGGCAGCGGGGGTGGCGGCGCCGTGACCGGGGTGCTGAACAGCGCGACCGCGGCCATCCCGGGGGTGCTGAGCCCCCCCGGGCGCCAGGGACCCTCCCTGCAGCCCCCCCCCCAGCCAGAGCGTGTCTGCGTGCTCTCCATCCCTGGGCAGGGGGGCTCACGGGGGGGGGACGACCCCGTCCCGCGCCCCGCGGAGCCGCTTGTTATTCCGCTCAGGTCCGAGGGCGGCTAATGAAGCCCGTTCCAGGAGAGCTGCCACATTCATCAGGATTGCAGCTCATTAGCGGGGCCTCTGCCACCGCAGCTGGGGCCAGCGCTCGGGGCACTGGCACGGGGGGACAGGCAGCGGGCGGGCGGGTGGACGGACAGACGGACAGGCAGCTCCACACGGCGGGGACAACCCGCAGCTGGGGCCTGGCCTGGCCGAGGGGCTGCTCTGGAGCTGGGCAGCCACGGATCTGCTCGGATCTGCTCAGCCAGGGATCTGCTCCAGAGGGGACAGGGTGAATCCCGGCACCGTGGATCCGCTTCCACGCTGCACTAATCCCACTGTCCCGGCTTGTTTTGGCTTTTGGCCGGGGCCAAACCTGATCCACGGCACGAGCTGGGCATGGCAGCCCAGAGGCCGGGCTGGGGGCTGCACAACCACCCCCCCAGGGATGCAGGGATGCCGCCCTGCCCAGGCCCAACTTCCCTCCGAACCCACCAGCAGGATGCATCGATTTTATTTTCTGTTTCCATGGCAACTGCCTCCTTCCCTTCCCCCTTCCGGCAGCCGGACCCGCTCCTCGCCCTCCGGCAGCGCCCACCCTGCATCCGGGGCACGGGCTGGGACGCAGCCCCTCCTGGGCATTCCCGGGGTGGCAGTGCCACCAGCTCACCCCTGCGCCCTCCGCGGTGCCAGCGGGGGATTTGGGGCCGGCATGGGGCAGGAGGGACCCCAGGACAGCCCCTCCCTGCCAGCGGCGATGATCAGCGGCAGGGCTGGCGGGACGCCGCGCTGGCTCATTAGCCAGGGCGGTAATTGTGTCCCCCCCGGTGCGGGGACACCGAGCAGCATCTCCCGGTGGCAGAGCCGAGCTCGTTAATGGCACATCCCGCCCTCACAGCTGCTCACACCCGTGTGCCACATCCCTGGTACCCCCGGCGAGGGGACACCGGCACTGCCACAGCCTGGCCACGAGCCCCCCGCCTTCACCCCTCGGGACTAAAGGTCAGCCCGCGCCTTAAAACCAGCGTTAGAATAATGGGACTATGATTATATCCCGTATCCACCCCATTCCAGAGGCTCCCACCCAGCACAGAGATGCCACCACATTGTCATTTAGCATCAATTACAAACCACATCGGGCTGTGCCAAATCCTGCCCCCCCCCGCCCTCCCCCGGGACCTCCCGACCCCCCCCTGCTCGGGGAGGGGGGGTTTATCCATGAGAAAGGCCCATCCCGGAGAACAGGCAGAGCCCTGTGCCGGCAGCGCTGGCCGCTGAATTCCGCCCGCGCCGCATCCCCCCGGGAATCTCCAGGGTTTTCACGGAAGCGGAATTCAATCGGCACAAGCGGTTAATTAATTAACGGTGAAGGGGCACAAGACCCGCTTCTTCTTCGGAAGCGGCTCCCGGGGCTGCTCAGCAAACCCCACACGCCGGCACCCGCCGCACAAAGGGCGCCGGCACCCGCTTCCTGCGCCCGCCGGGAGCGGGGGGTCTGGATCCGTGCCGGCTCCTCCTTTGGCACCGGCCCGTCCATCAGCTCCTGGATCAATGGCCAAGGCCCCCCCGGCGGGCGGCGGAGGGCCGGGCTGGCCGGCAGCCGGGAGCCGGCGGCGATGCCAGGCCGGCCCAGCCCGCGGGCACGGGCACGGCGCGTTCCTCGACAGCCAGAGCGCGGGGCCGCGATGATCCCGCGATCCCGGGGGATGATGCGCTGCCTCCCGCTTCCCCACGGGGCTGGAGGGGCCAGGGGGGCGCTGGGCTGAGGGGGGAGGGAGTGCCGGGAGGTGGCACAACTGGCCGAGCTGTCTTTCCCCCCGTCTGTCTCCCTGTCTGTCCCCCGGCGCGCAATTAGCCCGGGGGCAAACGAGGCTCCTGCGGTTTTTGACCCAATTTCTCCGGCGACTCCCGGGCGGGGGAAGGAGGGGAGGAGGGGAGGAGGGAGACGGAGCCCGTCACGCGTGTGCCGGTGTGTGTCACACGTGTGAGTGAGCACGCTCGGGCACACGTGTGTGTGCTGGTTGGCATGTGTGTGCAGGCTCGGGCACACACGTGTGTTCTCCCTGACATGTGTGTGCTCCCTGACACGTGTGTGCTCCCTGACACGTGTGTGCCCCTTGACATGTGTGTGCCCACTGAAACGTGTGTCCTGGTTGACACGTGTGTGCAGGTTCGGGCACACACGTGTGTGCTGGATGACACGTGTGTGTTCCCTGCAGGGATACAGGGATGAGCAGGATTGCTGGGCCGTGTAAGGATTCTGGGATGTGCAGGAATGTGCAGGGATCTGCAGGTATAGGCAGGGATGTGCAGAGATTCAGGGATGCGGGGATGTGCAGGGATGCGGGATTCAGGGATGCAGGGATATGTAGGGATGCAGGGATGTGCACGGTTGCAGGGATGTGCAGGGATGCAGGGATGCGGGGATGTGCAGGGATGTGGGATTGAGGGATGCAGGGATGTGCAGGGATTCAGGGATGCAGGGATGTGCAGGGATGTGGGATTCAGGGATGCAGGGATGTGCAGGGATTCAGGGATGCGGGATACAGGGATCCAGGGATGTGCAGGGGTTGAGGGGTGCAGGGATATGCAGGGATGCGGGATCCAGCGATCCCTCCCACCCCGCACTCCTTCCCTCCCTCTCGGTGTCTCCGCTGCCGGTCCCACCTTCAGCGCTGCCCCGGAGGGTCCCCGCGCCCCCCGACGGGTCCCCCCTTTACCGGGGGAACGGGGGAGTCCCCCCGATCCCAAAGACACGTTTTGGCAGAGGGGGCGAACACGGGGGGGGGTCCCGGGGCTGCCCCGCGGGGCGCGGGGGGGTCCCTGCAGCGGGGAGGGCGGAGCGGGAGGAGGGCGGGGGGGAGGTACCGGACACCGGGAGCGGGGAAGCGGCTCCGCCTCTTCCTGCGGCGGGCGGTGAGTGCGGGGATGGCCCGGCGGGACGGGGGTGGGCGTGGGACGGTGCTGCCGGGGGTCTCCATCGCTGTGCGGGTGTCCCCGATGCTGTCCCAGGGTCTCTGTCGCTGTCCGAGGGTCCCCTTTGCTGCCTCGGGGGTCCCCAGTACGATCCAAAGGTTTCTGTTCCTGCCGAGGTGTCCCCAGTGCTGCTTTGGGTGTCCCCAATGTTGCTCAGGGGTCCCCAGTACGATCCAGGTGTCCCCAGTATCATCCAGGGGTCCCCAGTACTGCTTAGGGGATCCCAGTGCTGCTCGGGGGTCCCCAATGCAATCCAAGGGTCTCTGTTCCTGCCCAGGGGTCCCCAGTGCTGCCAGAGTGTCCCCAACGGTACTTGGGGGTCCCCAGTACTGTCCGAGGGTCTCCAGTCCTGCCCCGGGGGTCCCCAGCGCTGCCAGAGTGTCCCCAGTGCTTCTTAGGGGTCCCCAGTCCTGCCCAGGGGTCCCTAATCCTGCCCAGGGGTCACAGTGCTGCCCAGAGTGTCCCTAATCCTGCCCAGGAGTCCCTAGTGCTGCCCAGAGTGTCCTCAATCCTGCCCAGGGGTCCCCAGTGCTGCCAGAGTGTCCCCAGTGCTGCTTAGGGGTCCCCAGTCCTCCCCAGGTGTCCCCAGTCCTCCCCAGTTGTCCCCAGTCCTGCCCAGGGGTCCCACGTCCCCTCCCCTCGGGGTCTCTCCCCAGGCCGCGATGCCGCTGCAGCCCCTGGTCTGCTCCGACACGACCACACGGTGAGTGCTGGTCCCTGCCGGGTGTCCCCCGGCCCCTGCCGGGTGTTCCCTGGTCCCTCCCGGGTGTCCCCCGGTCCCTGCTGGGTCTCCCTCGGTCCCTGCCGGATGTCCCCCGGTCCCTGCCGGGTGTCCCTCGGTCCCTGTGGGTGTCCCCTGGTCCCTGCTGGGTCTCCCTCGGTCCCTGCCGGGTGTCCCCTGGTCCCTGCCGGGTGTCCCCCCGGGTCCCTGCCGGGTGTCCCCCGCTGCCCCCAGGCCCCAGGAGGGTCCCACGCCCCCAGCCTGCCGTCCCCCGCCCCGTCCCTGCAGGGTGAGCTCGGTGCTGAACCGGGACGTGAAGCAGTTCGGGAAGCAGCACATGTTCGACGCCAGCGAGGAGACCTGCTGGAACTCCGACCAGGTTTGGGGGCACTGGGGATGGGGGAGCCACGGGGGTGGCACAGGAGCCCCGCTCTGACCCCTCTGTGACATCCCTGTGACATCCCCATGTCGTTCCTGCCCCCAGGGCACGAGCCAGTGGGTCACCCTGGACTTCCCCCGCCCCGTCAAGGTCTCGCAGCTCCAGGTCCAGTTCCAGGGGGGATTCTCCAGCCGGCTGTGCACGCTGGAAGGTGACATTTGGGGGCACCTGGGGGATTCCCTTGCCTTGGTTTACCCACACCTGGGTCCTGCAGGCGGGGAAGGGAAGGCCCAGAGGGGTTTGTTGGCCGTTCCCAAAGCCCAGGAGGGGCTGAGGCCGTGGGCTGGAGCAGCTCCCGGGGTGGACAGCGAGGAGCTGGGGGGGTCTCAGGGTGCTGGGAGGGTTTTGGGACAGCCACCCCATCACCTGGACCTCCCCCCTCATCCTCCACAGGCTGCAGAGCAGGCGAAGAGCTGGTGAAAATCTCCGAGCTGTACCCCCAGGACAGCCATGCCATGCAAATATCCTTTGCCACGTGTGCCCCCTCCCTTGGTGGGGGGGCTCAGAGCCCCCCAAGGCTGTGGTGGGGCAAGATGAGGGCACAGTTGGGGACCTGGTGGGGCTTTGCCACTGTCAGAGCTGCTCAGCAGAGCTGGAGCACCCAAGCTGTGAACCCCAGGGGTGCCCAGCGGGAGCGGGTCTCCCACTGCCTGTTCTATTCCTGTTCTATTCCTGTTTTATTCCTGTTCTGTTCCTGGTTTATTCCTTCACGGGCCCTGCAGAGGTTCCAGGTGGAGGAGACGGTGCTGGACAGGCTGAAGATCACCTTTGAGAACAGCACAGACTTCTTTGGGAGGGTCGTGGTCTATCACCTGGGGGTGCTGGGGGAGAGGCTGTAGGACACTGGGGGGGCTGCCCCCACCCCTGGGGGGCTCTGAAAACCTGGCCCCGAGGAACTCCCATCCCTGGGGACGGCAGTGACAGAGGGACACTGCCAAGGGATCCCCTTAGGATCCCCCTGGGGGGGACTCGGGTGTGCAACCGGATGAATAAAGGGTGTCCCTGCTCCCTCCTGGCTGCTCCTTGGGAAGTGGCCCCCCAGGACTGAGCCCTCGGGGGTTTGGCTCGAGCAGGAGGGGGGAGGAGTGTCCCCCCAGGCCGTCTGTCACCTTTGCTGGCCGCCCCTGAGCTCCTTGGAGCGGGTCCTGCCCGGGATGGCAGCATGCCAGGGCTGTGCCACATTCCCACATTCCTGGCGATGCTTCCTGCAGGATTTTCCTCCTTCCTATGCCCTGCTTCCCTGGCTGGGTGCAGGGGAGGGCTTGGCAGGTTTATGGGAGAGGATACCAGGGGTGTCGGGGCAGGGGGTTGTTGGCCCAGTTCCCCCTCGTGGTTCCCCAGTAAGTGGGATTGGGAACAGGGGCTGTGACGGGCCAAGGCAACGCACAGGGCTCCACGGGGCTGCTTTAGGGTTTAATTCCGAAAATGTGATCCTGGGATACACAGAGCAGCCGAGCCTGGACGGGGCATTCCCAGCTGCCCTGAGGAATGAGCGTCCCTGGGGGTGAGCGCCGGGGCTGTGCCACCCCTGGGAGAGCCGTGGATCCATGGAGGGCAGGGATTCCTGGATTCCTCCACGTGCCCCTTGCCTGCAGCATCGTGCCATGGCCTGTTTCCTGGTCCCAGAGCAGAGCTGGGGCTGCAGCCCCATGTCACTCCAGCCCCTTGTTCTGGAACAGCTTCAGGATGTGGTTCTCGATGACCTGTTGGACTGAGGGAGGGAGAGAGGTGGCACCTGGGCAAGCCAAGCCTGTGAGGAGCCACTGCTGCTGTGGGAAGGAGCTGGTCACCGTTTTGCTCCTGTTTCCTGATGGAAAACCCCCTTTTCCAGGGGCCTGTCCCCACCTCCCCAGTCCCAGCCCTATCCCAGGGTTGGGAAGCGGAGCCCGAGGATCCGATTTCCCCGGATTGATGGCAGAGCTGTGGGGGGAGGTCAAAGCAAGCCCCAGGCAGCGCTGGGAAGCTGGGAATCACCTGGAGGTTTTCCAGGGAGGGAAGGGGAGAGGACACCTGCCTTTCTTGTGGCCCAGGGCCACGGCCAGATCCATGGGGGTGTAGCCGGAATCCGCCTCCTCCGTCAGGTCAGCGCCGTGAGCTGCGGGGGGAGAGCAGGGCAGGGGGGGTGAGGGGACCCCCAAAAGCTGCCCCTGCACCCCCACCAGGGGCGTGTCCCTCTCTTCCAGCAATTCCAGGCTCAGGGGGTTCCCCTTACCCAGCAGGGCCTCCACACACTTGACGTGGTTCCCGCGCACGGCGTAGAGCAGGGGGGTGCCACCGTTCTGGGGACACGGGGGACAGGGACGGTCACTGCCGGCCTCCCACAGCTCCTGCTCCTCCCAGGCAGGGAGGCCCCGACCTGCTGGGATCCCCCTTCCACCCCCTACCAACCTCCAGGTTCTGATCCCCCTCCTGCCCTTCTTCCCAGCTTCCCAGGCTGGGACTCGCTGGGATCCCTCTTACACCTTCCCCCAGTTCTGGGTTGGGAACCACTGGGATCCCCCTCTCGCCCTCTCCCACCTCCAGCTGGGACCCACTGGGATTGCCCTTGTGCCCTCTCCCAGCTCCAGGCTGGGATTCCCCTTCCACTCTCCCAGCTCTGGGTGGGATCCTGCTTCCACCCTCTCCCATTGCAATCCCCTTTCCACTCTTTCCCAGCTCCAGGCTGGGATTCACAGGGATCCCCCTTCCACCCTCTCCCTGCTGCTCTTCCCTCCCAGAGCAGCTCCCTGCAGGTTTTATTCTTTCCTGTGCCACACAATAACTTTCAAACGTTGTCACTGTTTAAAAACCACCCCAACCTCTGCTCCTGGGTGGTTTCCTCGTGGAAAAAAACCCACTTAAAACGATTATCCCAGTTAATTTATGAAAACAACCACAGGAGCAAGGCTTGGGAGCCTGGGAAGCACCAGGCTGGAAGGATGGGAAATGAGTTTTTTGGAGGCCTGTCCTGGTGGCCCTGGTGGCCCTGGTGGCACTCACCCAGTCGTAGATGTTGATGTCCACGTTCCTCTCCAGCAGCAGGGTGACAATGTCCGTGTATCCCCCCATGCTGGCCAGGGACAGGGCACTCTCCCTCTCCTTGGCCAGGGCGTGGGGATCAGCCCCCTGGGAATGACACCAGGGTTGGTCCTGGCAGGTGGCAGAGCCCTGGGACACCCTGGGGGGGCTCATTCCGGAGCCAGGTCCCCACAGGGTACTGGGATCACACCTTCCCAGCCAACCAAAAAATCCCTCCTGGCCAAAATCCTCGCTGGGCGTGTTTTAATCATCCCCAAGCATCTCATGTGAGGCCTAAAAAGCCCTTCTCCAGTGTCCTGATGGATCCTGTCACTCAGCATCACCAGGAACAGCATCCCTGGCCTCTGTGGATCCCTGCACAGTATCCAGGGTCTTTTTTTGCCCTGATTTCCATGGAAAACCTCTCTGTCCTCCAAGCCTTGCCAGCCCCAGGCCCCTCCTGGCCTTCATCTGTGGATGAACCCCTCATTTATGGGGGTTCTGTTCGTCCCTCTGTCCTGCTGCTGATCCAGGAGCAGAGCTTGGTCGGTGCTTCCCAGAGCTGTGGGTGCTTCCCAGCCCTTGGATCCAGGGGGATGTGGGAGCAGCCCCCTCCAGAGGGCGGGATGTGATCCTTGCTCCCTCCCCCAGGCTGCACACCCGGCACTCCCGGGCTCCTGAACAGCCACCACACCTCACTGAGCACATTTGCCAGCAGATCACAGGGCCCCAGTGACAAACCCGATCCCAAATGAGCAGTGAGCAGAGATTTCATTACAAACAGCCCCTCCTGGCTGGGGGATGAGGCTCTGAGAGCTCACGGCCCGAGGGACACCCAGCAGCTCCTGCTGGATGCCAAGGGAAAGCCTGGCTGAGGAGGCACCAGGACGGTGCTGGACAGTTTGGGAGCCACTGGGATTGGGGGTGGGAAGCTCCCTGTTATCCAGGGGCTGCCCAAGGGGAGGCCTTACCCACTCCAGCAGGTGCCGGACCGTCTCGATCTCCCCAAAGGCGGCGGCCCAGATGAGGGGGGTGAAACCTCTCTCGTCGGGTTTGTTCACCAGGTTCTCACCTGCACAGACAAGGGGAGACACTGACAGGAAGGGCAAAGCCCCCTCTGCTCCCTGCCCTCCCAGCAAACCCAGAAAAACCACCTCAGCTGGCTGGAGTTGAGGATCCTCGAGGTCTTTTCCAGCCTTAATGATCCTGTGGCCGGATGAAAACCGAGCTGGGAGTTTGGGAGTCACCAGCCAGGACCTGGCAGGACCTGGGCTGGGAGAGGGAGCCACGTACCTTTCCGAAGGTGCTCCTTCAGCTGGATGAGCTCCCCTTGGGCAGCAAGTTGGTGGATGGACAGTGCTGGGGGAGAGGGAAAGGATTCACCCACCGGGACAAAACCCTTCCCCGGCTGCAGGTGGGTCCCTGGCCCCAAAAATCCCTCCCTCCTGCCACTCAGTGGTGTGAAGAGCAGGGTCCCCCTGTGTCCTGCTGTCCCTCTGTCCCCTCCACACCCCCTCTGGGACCCTCTGCCTGGTGGCACTCACTGTCCAGTGTGGCTGGCAGGGCTGAGACCTCGTTGCCTCGTTGCCTGTTGGTCAGAGTGTTCGAGTGTTTCAGGGGGAAACCTGTTCCAGGGAGAAGAGAGAGGGTTCATTCTCTGTTTATTTATTCTCTACTCATTTCAGTTTTATTCTCTATTTTTTTTATTCTCTATTCATTTAGCTTTTATTCTCTATTTTTTTTATTCTCTACTCATTTAGCTTTTAATCTCTATTTTTTTATCCTCTACTCATTTAGGTCTTATTCTCTATTTATTTATTCTCTACTCCTTTAGATTTTATTCTCTATTTATTTATTCTCTATTCATTTAGCTTTTATTCTCTATTTTTTTTTATTCTCTACCCATTTAGGTTTCATCCTCTGCATTTATTCCCTGTGTACAGAGAGGAGCTGCTTCCTGAGAGCTCAGGCCTCATTCAAAGCTGTTCCCTGGCAAAAACTGAGTCCTGCAAAAACAGGGATCAACCCCTTGCAAGTAAAAAACTCTGGAAAATGAGGTTTGAC